GTCAGGGGACGCTTCTTGCTACTTGACACTCCGTCATCAGACTGGGTTTGCAGTGTGGTAGAAAACATGCACCCCAGTTCCTGAGCCCTCCCTAAACCAGTGTGATGCCTGTGGCCTGCTCCCAGAACAAGGTACTGCAGTTGGATTCAGCAGCCCTCTGAACAGTGAGCCTTTGGGACATGCCAAATCCTCATGGTGCCACCACTATTGCTAGAAGAAGTTTAAGAATGGTTGCCATAGGAAAATGTAGGATTGTTTCCCTGAAGAAATACTGGTGAATATATTTCTGTAAAAGACTTCAGTGTGATATTTTGTATAGGATTGCCTAGTTTTCACTGCTGTACAGAATTCGGCCTTAGGTGTCTCCTCAACTTCACAGAAACATAGAATGTTTTGGGTTGGAAGAGACCTTAAAGATCAGCTGCTTCTAATGCCCCTGTTGTGGGCAGGAGCACCTTTCACTAAACCAGGGTGCTCAGGGCACCATCCAACCTGGCGTTGAACACTTCCACGGATGGGGCATCCCTGACTTCTCTGGGCAACCTGTTCCAATGCCTCACCACTCTCACAGCAAAGAATTGTTTTCTAGTATCAAATCTAAAGCTACGCTCTTTCAGTTTGAAGAGATTCCCCCTTGTCCTGTCACTAATTATGGCTCGTCCTGTCACTACCAACTTCCACGTGGAAGGGAAGAACTTAGCCTGGTCAGTATTCCCCAAAGTATTTTCTCTGTTGTTGACTAACTAGGAGATGTAAATGCATTTATCTGGACCCTCAATTTCATCTTTCCATGCCATTCAGTAATATTGTTGTACACAGTCCTGTAAAAATGCAGATTTATTGCTGATCAGCTCTAACTCACCTTAGAGAGAAGTTCTTTACATTTTGGTCTGCTCTCTGAAGCTACTTCTCCTGCCATGTTCGTATATTTTGCATTCATAGTGGTGTAATTACATTGCAAAGCACGTGAAATAAGTATTTTCTCTCTAACTCAAAATTACTTTTTCCATGTCCTTTACCTTGACTCTTAATTCTAAGCTAAATGATCTGTTCTGGTGTGTGTTGTCCTTCATAAGCTATCTTTCTTAAGAAACATCCATTATACAAGCTTCCCATTTCTGGCTTGGTTTTAGAGGCTAAATGTGATGTGCATGTGCAACTTGAAAAGGTTTTAGGAATGGAAATGTTTGGACCTTTCAATTTTTTTCATGCCTCTCTTCCTCCACCACTCTCAAACACATACACAGATTTACTTGTCAAGGTACCCTGCTACGTGATAGTATCATTTATTTTTGTAAGGGGACTGAGAAGGCTCAGTTGAGAGAGATCTGATGGCAGCCAATTTTGCTCTACCCAATGATGTGCAGAGGGAAGCTTTTCCGACATCTGGCAAAAATGTCTGAGGCTGATCTTCATTTACAGCAGGAATGGGTTTAGAATAATAACCCAAGCTCCATTCAGCTCCAGGAAAGGTAGACTGAGCCAACCTTTTATTGGTCACCTTCTATGTCATGCCACATGCCTTTGGGCTGAGCATCTTGACAATATATCTATTTTTTGTGTAGTTTAAATGCTATACTCCTTTTATTTCACAATGTGTGGGGAGGTGGGCATTACTAAAAGTAAAATTTGGTGAAGTATTGAAGCAAGATTACAACCAAGATGGAGCATTGAGGGGGGAATGCAAATATAAGGGTTTCAGCCAAGCAACCAAGGCTTCGTTGTCATTTTAACAGTAGGTGCTCTTTTACCCCTCTACCTTGTGGCCTTATTTCCAACAGGAAAAGAGGAAAGAGACAGCAGTAAAATCCAGGGAAACACCACCAATCCATAGCAGTTGTTTTTATTGCTGTAATGGAGGATATTGTTAAAAGCATTAAATAACATAATGAAGAGTTGTGGGTGCAGAGGGTTTTTTTAATTTTGCTTTGATGTAAACAACTTGCTGTACATTCAGAAAAATCTACATGCTTGTAGATACTTAAAGAAAAAAATCTTATTACTGTTTATCTAGATCAGCCTCATTTCTTTTTCGTGGCTAAATAATGCTTCCAGTGTATTAATCTGCTCACAATAGCTGCTTGGATACTTTCCTATTTAGCTTTTTCTAGATGACTTGAGATGTTTAAAGAATGTGCTCTTTTTTTACCTTCATTGCAGCTGAATAAAAGTGGTGTTTACATCAAAGACTGTCAGGAAAATGTGTACTGCTTTTTTGGATCAATGCCTAGCAAAGTTAATGGAAATTAGCTACAGCAAAATCCAGAAAAGGTTCAGTGTTTGTCTAAACTGTTTCTGTCTTAAACTGCTCCTTTATACCTTATAAATGGCTAAAGGCTTTTATGGTCTATACTACAGTTAACTTGCATTGTTTAACATGCAGCACTTTTGTAGAGTGTGGTGTACTATATGTGACAGTTTAATTTATTTTTTTAGTAACTCCATTTAAAAAAAAAGTAGAACTTTTTTAGCTATTCATATTGTTTTAGTCATACCCCTTTGGGTTGTAAAACAGGCAGACTTTGCAAACTTACTGAGTCTGGTCAGTACGTTGATGGAAATGCAGTTCAGCACCACCTGTCTGATGGGTTGTCCATCTCTTATCTACAGCTTGAGCAGAAGATTTTTTACCCTTTCTTAATTCAAACTGTTTTCCCTTAGTGTTGACAAATAAGCTTGATAGACAGAGAGAGAGTGAAAGATGATGCTCTTTTTGAGCTGCAGGTTAGTCAGAATTAGTTAGCGTAGAAGCGGGTAAGTTTGGTGACTCAACAAAAAAGTTCAAGCTAGTGTGATCATAGCTTCTTGTTATTCAAACCTGGTTGTTAACATGGATTTAATAGCAAGATTTTGAATGTTTTTCTCCGTGTGCACCCACATTCTGAAATGGCTTACGTTTTTCGTATGTGCGACCATACATTCAATCTATACATTTCTGGAAGAGAAAAACTTAAGATGTCCTCTGTGTGTGTGTGATCAGAAGGAGAATGTATTGGAAGTCCTTGGGCAGCTTTGGGGATGCAAAGTATTAGAAAGGGAAAAAGTTATTTCACTGAGAAACTGTCTATGTCAGTGAATATTTATACAATTATATTATATTCTCTACTTTTCTCCTATCATGCCCTAGTTTTCATGCAAAATTTTCAGAGAAAAATCTCAGTCTCTGTTTTCGTACATGACTGTTTTTCACAGCGTTGTATGGAAGATTGTCTATTGCTGTATTGTACATACAGCCTGATGCAGAGCTTTCCTTAAACCTTATTTATCTCCGTTTTTGTGCTGACTCAAACTGACTCATACTAGACAGAGCTCTGACTGGGGCTAACATTCAATTTAGCAGAGATTTACTTTGCAGTAATATGTTGAAATTGTATTTTTATCCCTGTAACTGCAATTTATTTGAAGATTTGTCACTAGCAGTAGAAACATTGTTTTGATGTTTACAGAACTAGCAATTTAATTTTCTAGATCTGTATTTTTAGGCCTGTTTTGAGCATGTGTTTCTGTTATTTCAGGTATCTGAGCGTGAATTCTGGTCTGGCTGTAGCTATTAAAGATTAATTACTGCTCTTTTTTTTTTTTCCTGATGCTGCAGAAAACAAGACTTTGTTTTCTGCAACGTCATCACTTGTGACGTGGAGGCTGAGCAGCCCCCGAGACTTTCCCTAGTTTCCGTGCCCTGGCAAATACTCATCACTTCACACAAAGCATTCAGTCTTTTGTAGATTCAAGCACTATGTACAGAGGTTTTCAGCCTAGGGCCATGATGAACAAGGTATTTTTCCTTGTGCAGTAATGAGACAATATTTCCTTGTGAAGTGCTATAATGGTCTAGCAGCTGAATATTGGAGGTAGCTAAAACTCTCATCCTTCTTTTACCATCTTCTTGCTGCACTCACACCTCAGGTGATAATGTCAAATACAGATTAAAAAAAAATATAAACTAGTATATAGTTGAGAGAGACCTACTTCATTTGTATCATTAGAACAACAGTACCAAAACCTTTACAATGGATAATTATGCTTCTCGAACGTGAGCAGTAATATTTGCACTGACAAAAATATTTGGGATTGTGTCTATATGTATTTTTTTAGATGTATCTATTTAAGAGTCATTGCTATAACCAGTTCTGATCTGACTCCAAAATCTTTCAGTGATGACTTATTAATCAATCAAGGATTCATGACTTCTGAAGTTGTTTGATGTTGTGTACTGAAGTGCTTTATTCCATGTTGGAACCTATTGGATAGTATTACCCCTAGAATCATATTGTTACTGTTGGCATCCTCAGTAAAAATTCATCAAGGAGAACATTTAATAAGAAAATAATTAAGACATTAAATGTATAGAAATGTGTTCAGTTCTGGACTCCCCACTAAAGAGACATGGACATACTGGAGAGAGTCCAGCCAAGAGAATGAAGCTCTGCTGTTAAGAGAAGTGGAGAGAGCTGGGACTGTTCAGCACAGAGAAGAGAAGACTCAGGAATCTTATCCATGTGTATAAAATACCTAATTGTAGGGGAGAAGAAATCAAAGGCAGACTCTTCTCAGTGGTGTTTAGTGACAGGACAAAAGGCAGTGGGCTTTAGACTGAAATGCAAGAAATTCCATTTAACCTAAGAAAATCTTTTTTAACTGTGAGGGGGTTGGCCCAGTGAGGTTGTGCAGTCTTCATCATCGGAGATATTCAAAACCCTACCAGACACAGTCCTGAGTAACCTGCTCCAGCTGACCCTGCTTTGATGTCCTTTCTAGGTAACCTCCAGAGATCCCTTTCAACCACAGCTATGATTCAACACCACTTTTTATCATAAAGTCGTACTCAAACTTAAATGGCAGTGGTGAGAAGTTGTGTTAGATATTTTAAAATCTGTTCCATAAGGATTTGAACTTCTCTATAGAAGTTGTTTGTCATAACAGCAATGTCTTTTTCTAAGGTTGCTTGAAAATTTGCAGGGATTGTTAACTTCATCTGCACTTTTTGTTTTACCCCTCAGGAACGTTTCTTCTCGCCAAGAATTCGTCGTCGACTTCATGCTGTCCTAGCATCTGTTAGCACTTCAATGTTGATTTTATCAAATCTAATATTTCTTGGAGGAAATCAAGTTGGAAAAATCTACTGGAACAGGATCTTTATGGAAGGCAAGTTTATTTTTATGTGCTTTCTAGATAATAGAACTTTCCAAATATTACCTTGGGTGGGCTGAGCCAGGTTCTTCTCTCAGTGCACTAACTGGGAGTAACTTTTTTTCTGGTCCTGTTCAAAACAATCTAAAATCTGTCTGACAAAACCTAAATAACTAAGCAGGCTGCATGACTACAAAGACACAATGCCTTTCTCCCATCAAGTCTACAAAGAAAGTTATCAGGCTTCTCTGTCAGTGAAATCACTAAAGATTAAATAATAAATGTGTGACAAGGTAGCAAGGTTGGATTTTTTCCCCCCATTCTGCATTTCATGTACATCAGTAAGAACAGGCATACTAAAGCCAACCCCATAGATTCTGTGGAAGGTTAGTGGATGAGATCTGCATGATACAGCATAATTGAGCCATTAATTGGTTTTTTTTGTAGTGAATCTGATGTCAGGGTAGGGACCTGCTGACTATTGAGGACAAGATTGAGGACAGGGGAGCTTGGGTGACAGTATCAGCCTGTGGTGTTGCTCACTAAGCAGTTAGTGACACTGTGCTGTGAGCTGACACAGGAGACAAATTAAGCTTTAATTTTTCTCTCAGAGCTCAGTGTAAGTAGGACCAGTTTTCTTTTTAGTGTTATTCCTGCCAGAGGCCCATATTGTCAAATAAGGATCTCATGGAGGAATATTTCTTCCTCATAAGGGAAGTACTAATAGGCTTCTGTGGCTAGAAGCATTCTCCTACAAAGACCACACTGTCTATTGCTCCTTCGTGAGTTTTTTTTCTCCTCGTTCCTTGCAATGGCTTAGAAGTCAGTTCTGGAGATCCAAGGTCCTACTTAAGCATCCCAAAACAATGAAACTCTTAAAGAGTAAGTTATGTACATGAATGAAACGGTTTATCTTCTGTACTGAAACAAAAAAACGTTCAAACAGCTCAAAGAAAGGTACATTTTTAGCATAAAATATAGTGAAGCTTTTTGTTAATACTGAGCAGGAAAGATGGAGTGAAGTATTATTTCATGTTTAGTTTTTGTTCTTAAAGCATAAAATATTTGTTTTCTGTTTTCTTAAAAGGCTTTATTTTCTTTTAAATTCTTTCAGTTAATTGGCTAATAGTTTCAGTGGAAAAATTAGCTGAGAGAAAAAATTTGGAAGTAAAGTTAGACGTCACTTCTTATCTATTAAAAAAAAAAGGACACTAATGAAATTGTCCATTTCAGGTTTATAGCTTCATACAAATTATTTTCATAATGGTATTTGTATATTATAAATAAAGAAGTATGCCTTCCTCTTCGGAAGGGTTAGCAGTTCACAGAATGCTGGGGTTTGAAACTGATGAATGACAATGTTTTATTAAGTAGAATGGTATTTAATTAAACCAGATCAATTATTGATTGTTTTTCTATATTTGGGTTGCTGGTGGGTTTTTTTAATAGTTTTTTGATCTCTTGCTCTTGCACTAAATACATAGTTGCTTCAGGATTAGGTACCAGACATCTAAAACAGGAATAGGAAATTAATTTAGTCATTTGCATCTTTGTTTCCATGATCTGTTAATCAAATTAACTTTATTTTTAGAACATGAAAGCTTTTGCTTAGTGCACCTCATACTCTACTAGTAGAAATTTCCAGTATTTAGCTTTATATGCCTGTGTTCTTAGATCACTCAGATTACTGTGACCATATTCTTTAGCTGCATTGTTGTTCTGACAATTCAGGTGTACAAACTGAAACATATACTAAGATTTTATTGCATCTGCACCCCTGCTCCACTGTTGTTCCATTGTGGTTTTCATACTATGGAACAAATGAGGCAGTCGCTGGTATCAATACAGACTGGGGGATGAACAGATTGAAAGCGGTCCTGCCAAGAAGAACTTGTGTGTGCTGGTGAATTAGAGGCTGGACATGACCCAGCAATGTTCACTTGCAGCCCAGAAAGCCAGTCGTGGCTGCATCAAAAGTAGCATGACCAGCAGGGTGAGGAAGGGGATGCTGCCCCTCTGTTCTGCTCTGGTGAGACTCCACCTGGAGCACTGCATCCAGCTCTGGGGTCCCCAGCACAGGAAGAAAGTATGTTGACCTGTTGGAGCGAGTCCAGAGGAGGCCACCATGAGGATTAGAGGGATGGAGCACCTCTCCTATGATGAAAGGCTGGGAGAATTGGGATTGTTCAGCCTAGAAAAGAGAAGGCTTCAGGGTGACCTAATTGCGACCTTCCAGTCCCTGAAGGGAAACTACAAGACAGATGGAGAAGAACTTTTTAGAAGAGCATGTAGTGACAGCGCAAGAGGGAATGGTTTTAAACTGAGAACAGATTTAGATTAGATAATAGGAAAAAATTCTTTACTGTGAGGGTGGTGAGACACTGGAACAGGTTGCCCAGAGAAGTTGTTGATGTCCCACCCATGGAACACTCAAGGGCAGGTTGGACGGGGCTTTGAGCAACCTAGTCTAGTGAAAGGTGTCCCTGCCCATGGCAGAGGCATTGGAACTAGATGATCTTTAAGGTCCCTTCCAACTTAAGCTGTTATATAATTCCATAATTCTGTGATTGCAGGCCAGTCAAATCCAGAAGGACTATTCAGAACGGAAGTCTTCAATTTCTAGTAAATTTAAGTGTTGGTCTGTAGGAGATATAACAAAAATCTACATTTGGAGTGTAGAACACTAAAAAATAAAGTTCAGGAAACCTAAGCAGGGATTTGCAACACTCTAAAACCAGAGAGTAGACTCTAACACTCTAAAACCATTTGCATTTGGAGGACATCTCTACATTCTCAGCAACCCAAGCAACAGGATTTGAGATTGGTTGATGGTAGAAGGCTCTGTACCAATAGTGTGACATAAAATCCCTCTGAGGTAAGGAATAGAGATAGAGTAAGGAATAGGGAGCTGTGGAAACAAAGCTGACCACTTGCACATCAGCTGCAAAGCATAGTCAGTTTGTTTGCTTTGTCCAAATCCCACAGAATTATATCTACAAAGATTTGTATGGATAGGAAGAAAATAGAAGATGTGGGGAGGAGAAAACATGGATATGAAAGCAGTTAAACCCCAGAGCCAACACAGTGCAAAGAGAACCGTGCAAGTGAGGTACCTTTATTATCAAAGCTCTGTGGATTGCTTTCTAGGAACAGGATTTAGATGAGGTTTCCCAGAATTTCTTGACTGATATTTGAACTGATTTACAGTGCTTTGGCAGTACTTTCCACAGGTCCTGTACCACTAACAAGGGAATTTGATATCTGAGCATGTCAGGTAGCAGTATTTTTAGCATTTATTTGCTTTTCTCTTGTGAAAAATAGATTGAATTTATCTGGCTTTAAAATTAGTTTCTGTGCATCATTAAAATGGCTATTGCCAAAATTACTAGGGGAGAGGTCTGTGTGTCTCATATGGATGAGTATTTGTTCTTAATTTTGTTCTCAAACTGTTCAGACCAGCCATAGTGCTTGTTTCTGACACCTAACTTGTCCCGGTAAGTTATTAGCAAGGAAAAAAGTTCCTACAAGAAGCATTTGCTTTGACCGTTCTTTAGTAAGATTTTTCTCATGAGGGACAGTGTCATTCTAATAAGAAAATAGCAGAAATGTCTTCTAAACAACAAACCATTTTTAATCCTGTATTCAGAGTAATTGACTGATGCTTCACCTCAAAATAAGAAGCTCCAGTGAGAGAGGTTCTCTTTGAAGGGGCTCACTGCTGCAGCTGGCACTGTGCAGTACTTTTGTTTAAGATAATTAATCTAGCAAGCATGGACAAAGGCATTAAGCTGGGACAGGACAGAAGTGTTTCAGGTGGTAAAACTATAAAATTCTTCCTGATCTTCCTCTGGCTTACGAGGAACAGAGTTCAGATCAATGAGGAAAGCACACAGTGCATGTCAGATGTATTTTACTTTGAGTAGCTGTCTGAAAATTGCACAGCCATCATTTAACTGTAAACCAGTACTTTAACTATCCAATTTATCTTACTAAATTGTGAAAAGTGCCTCTCTTGAGAGCAGTTCATCCCACGTGTTAGCATGGGATGAAATGCATTCTCACTCTTCACTATGTTCAGAGGCATTTTGTACAGCCTGGTTTAGATTAGGTTGGACACCCAATATTTAAGGAGGTGTCCTTTAGTAGACATCCAGCAAAGAGTGATTTTCACCCTTGGTTAGAAATTATTTACTGCAGGAGTACAGAGCAGCTGGCTGGGCAGAAGTCCTGCAATGAGGTATATCTGACTGTTCTACCAGACTGCAAACTTTATGCATCAACAGCATCAGACTACTTATGACAAAAATAGACCTTATGCCAAAATGCATTGACAGCGTGCAAAAGACATAATTTAACCTCTTCATTATGTTCCGAAGGTTAAAGTTAAAATATGTCCACTTTTGGTTGCTGCAGTGTAAAAAAAATTAATAAGCTGACAGGGAGAAGGAGATGCAGCAACATGATTGGAAGTCTAGGAGCCATGATCCTGAAATAAACAGCATTGTTTTGTTTTGAGAGAAATTTATTGAGGAGAGAAATAGATACCTAGAAGTTTCTGCAAATAAAATGTTAACAAGATATTCTGATCACCAATGGGATCAGGAGAAGGAAAAAAACCTGTAAAATGTAGCAAGGAGTTGGACTTTGATGATCCTTGTGGGTCCTTCCAACTCAGGGTATTCTGTGATTCTATTATATTATCTAGGTAAGCTGATGGGCTGCCATCCTTGGGGGACAGTCTCCAGGTAGACAAAAACCTGTCAAGCAATGTAGAAAATAATGATTTTATTGTGATGTAGAAGGAACCTATAAATGGCCTCTAGACCCATTCCAAGCCCTGTTTTCTCTAGGTGGTTCATCAGCAGATAGAGCTGTTTACAGCAAAACTAAAACTTAATTCTCAATGTCTAATATTTGTTAACTAGTTCAGGATGGTGAAGCTTTTATTTTGCCTCTAGTTTTCCCTTCCAGCTTGCTTGGAAGCAAAATCAGGTTTTATGCTACTCAGAATTCAG